CCCGGTGCGGCGCTACCCGATGCCCGGAATTCCCGTGGTTGTAGATCATCACATTCTGGCCATCTCGAAGAACATCCCCGAAGTACTCCCTGCTATACTCCGTCCGATTATTGACTAAGTTTTCGGGTAGAATGTGCCACACTCCGAGCCGGACGCCTTCATCGGTGTCCAAATAAAAGTTGATCGCTCCATCCACTCCATACTTTCTGGGATTATCGAAATCCGGGTTCTTTGGCCAACTCACTGTTAACCGGAAGCAAACAAATGCATGAATTAAAATGTTTAAAATAATTTCCAACAACAAAAAACAACACACATTGAACAGGAAACGGAAACGAAGAAACGTCCCTGATTCCCATCAGATTACAAACGAATATTGTGCAACGAGCATATTTTGGATCACATTCAAAACACATGTAATTTATGGCATTTCTCCAATCAGAATATAAATATAATATTGAATTTATGCCTAGCATTAATTAATCCGATGAAACGACGCAAGAATTAAACTAAATCTAATATTGAAATTTAAAATTTGCATCGGAGATTATTCAGCTTAATACAGCATGGAATACAGTTATTGATAATATCAATAATTATACAATTTACTTATTAAATGTGATGTGATATAATGACATAATACAAGAATGAAATATTTAGGAATTAAAATGCTACAGTTCTGAAATTTATCTAACATAAATGTTAATTGATAAATTCACACCAAAAGAAGATACAAACAAATAAACTCACCAAAATTGAGAAATACTAAACTCCTTTGTACTCCATAGCAATACTTATAAATAAATGGACCTACTATAAATATAAGGAAAAATATCACCAGTGCCAACTTGAGTGTCCATAAACTTATTCTGCAAGCAAAAGAACAAAACACAAATTAGTTTACAATAAACAATAGAAAAACATTCCAACTGTTACTTGCCAAGTACTTGCGTTGGAACAGTAATTTCACTCAATATTCAGAAAAAAATAATTAAATTAAATTAATTACACACACATGAATATAATTAATTCATCTTATATGTAAATATTGCTCATTTAATAAATACATAGAAAATAGTTTATATTAACAATTGTATGAAAAACACACTCATCCAAGTATTAACCACGATTCACATTGCTTAACTTTCGTAAATTGTTTATAGTTGATATAATATAAGAGTAAAACGTTCAAAGTAAACGAAAATAATTTTTGCATACTTGGAATCGATTAGTTATAATGAATCAAAGTACTTCATAAAAATCCATTATTGCTGCACTTAAAATAAGTATTATAGTTTGGAAAAATAGTAAATAACGAGAACGTTTATTGGGAGTAGCTGGAATCGTTTTCACAACGAATTGTCTGTGAATTTAGACAATCGAAATGTCTTTTGCTTAGTTTCGTGCGTTATTATATTTCTAACAAAGCGGGTTTGGATGTACGGGACTTGCACATCTTTCCGAGAACTCCACTTGCCATTCACCTTGGCAGGAGGCCGAATTGCACAGACCGTAACTTCAACTAAATGAAAAGAAAAGAAAGATAAAAAATAAACCCGAAGTAGGTTCAACGTTCGTTTCGCATTAAATACCGTTCATTATTGTTTAATGAATTACATTACATCAAATAATTGATTAGAATCGCAGCTACGTTCATTGATCATCACTGTTAATCACTATTACATCAAAGAGTAAGAAAGTTAAGCAACGTGCATTGAAGAAAGTACTTGGATGAAATTACTTGTCTTACTATTTTATTACATTACAAATTAGACTAAAATGTTTCAATAAAGTTAAGCAACTACGTTGATGAAATTACTTGGATTACAATTACTTTTCCATAGCACCATTATAATTGCATCAAATAATTGATTAGACTGCGATGTTATAAAAAAAGTTAAGCAAATTGCGCTGAGGAAAGTACTTGGATAGAAGCACTCATCTCGATTTTATAAATCAATTATAGTTAATTATCAAGTAAATCTCTTAACACTGATTACGCAAATCAAACTGATTCTTAAATTCCATGTAAGAAATTGAATTTCATTAATAATACTTGTTTTTGTGATGACAGACTTATTTTTACTATTAGTTTCTTGGAACGCGATTTCTGCTAATGATTTTTTTCCTCAACTGTATAAACAATACGACACATTGTTCTGCAATCAGCAATTTTCTTTAATTGCTTCGCAATTTGTATTCACGTAGCGAGAGTTTCGTTCGTACGTCGGTAAAAATGGAACAATTGAATCAATAAAGCGAAAATTATGACTGTTGCCGGGCATAATTCATAAGGATTACCGCGTTTTGTCGCATTGTTAATAGATTAGTCGAACAATAAATCGTATGATTTTTGCATACCAACCAACAAATTGGACTACAAATCGTATGATCTTCATAGCACCAATTTAACTGCAAATCTGTTTGTGTTTAAACCAGTAGTTTCCAAACTTGATG